AGGTGATGTTGCATTCTTGATGCTTCTTCACCGCAGTTGGGCTAAACCAACTTACACTTAAACTAGGTCTTTTAAGCTGGATAAATTTCATTCCACTTTATTTGGTTTGTTCTGCCTACCTGAATAATGTTCTATTAACTGGCCACGTTGCTTACGCTAATTGCGCTTATCTTCGGTAATTTTGTTGCGTTTGTAGCATTTTTAAGTAACTTGTGGACATTTCTTACTTATCGCGGATTCGTTGCTAACCAACTTACTTCATATGGTAATTTAGGGAAGAGTTATGCCACCGTATCTGTATGCATTATTGGATTTATTTTATTTCAGCTTGTCGTTTAAAGTGAATGGCTGTTGCTTGATATCCCCGGTGTGGTTGCGCTTGAGGTGCACGTTGACAAGGTGCCTACCTGTCTACTACCCACTACCTCGTCCATACTGGCTCCAGGAGACAGTTGGTCGTTGCTGGAGGGGACGGGATGCACGGTCCTTGTGGCCGTGTTAGGATCAAAGAATGGTTCCATGCACTCAGTGTGGAGCGGACTACGGTCAAACCACCGCCTTGGGTGTACTGTTGATTCCCCAACTACAGCGTGCTTGTGTTTGTCTGTGAAGGAGTGTGGGCCGGCTCCGTTGATGAAACGTGGTTCCCATCCGCATGACTCCCGGTCTTATTCCTTCGGGTTTACACTGGTTATGGGTGTGTGGATGGAGCTGTGGATGTTGCAGCGCAAGCCATCCATGGTCCCTCTGTAGGCGCAGGCGTCCTGTGGCTGACCACAGTGAGAGGCAAATCCGAAACCGGATGCCGCCAACCATGTGTATATTTGTAGTAGCACACGCAGTGTTAGAGATGTCCGTTGAACAGAGCGAGTGTAACAGTTGTCACTAAAGTAATACTGTTGAAAAGACTTATAGGAACGGCCATATTGGCAGTGTTGTTACTCGGCAAGTGCACTCTTTCCCATGCCGGTGACGTAACTCTTTACATGAGCTACCACTTTGGCGTATTGAGAACGAGCGTTTGTCAGGCACTAGATAAAGCTGTTGAGGCTCTTGCAGTCGTGAGTTGCGCTTTCACATTTAAGCTTACCATCGCGGTAGCGTATAAAAGCCATGTGGGTAGCTTCCATAGGGTTATGAAGTTCATACGCGCCCACTTAGGAAACAGACGTGTTGTGGAAGTTCAATCTGTCAGTGGTTAGCTGGGAAGATCTAGCACGTACAATGGCGCTGGGATCGTTCGGAGAGGACCTATTGAAACTGACGCCATAGGTGTCGTTGCACCAGTTCGTGGACGTGCCCACTGGGGACATGGAAAATCGGCAGCTGACCATGTTAGATATTGTCTTCTCCGAGGCAACTGACTGGCGACATTTCTCTCGTCCTGAGTGGCAGATTTCAGAATGCAACCGTACTTTTAATCCTCCTGTACGGTTGTGAAACAAGTCCCATCCGATCTAT